AAAAGAAGAGTGAAATCATTAATTAAATAACTACTTCAATTAAAAGAGAAACTAAGTCTCACTGAGGTTAAAAGCCAAGGAATAAAAGTGGGTTTTAAGACGTGATTTAAAAGTGGACAGTGAAGGGGCCTTTCTAACGTGCAAGGGCAAATTATTCCATAATTTTGGAGCCACAATAGAGAAGGTCCTGTCCCCTCTGAGCTTCCTCCTGGATCTCGGTACCTCCAGGAGCAGCTGGTCAGCTGACCTGAGAGACCGACAGGGTATGTGGAAATGAAGAAGCTCAGAGAGGTAAGGCGGGGCAAGACTGTGAAGGCATTTAAAAACAAACATAAGAATTGTCCACGGGTCATTTTTGTCCTCTAAAGAAATCTTTTGCTATCAAAAATGTATTTGTTATTCATCAAATGGGCTGAAAATAACAGAAGTTATTCATTACTATACTATGAATGATTGGAATAAGTTTCAAGTAATTTGATTTATTTATGTGGTTTTTATTGAATTTTATAACGTTGTTGGCCCTCGTGGACAAAAATGACCCCAAAGTACAAAGTGTTGCAAAGAGCCGTATTTTCACACCATACTGTTTTCAAACATCTTTGATCTTGGATCACTGATGTGTGGGGTCAAGCACTGGTCATAACAACCACAACAGGCAGCACAATGAGGAGGCAGGTGCTCTATATTCAATGAAATTTTATTTATACAGCGCCAAATCACAACAACAGCCGCATCAAAGTGTTTCGTATTGTAAGGTAGACTCTACAATAATACATACACAGAAAGTATCCTCAAAAGCCTCCATTGCACTGGAGATTTGCATACTTTGATGAGCATACTTTTTTTTACCATGTTGTGCAAAGCAATGACCAGTAGGACAAAGCACATATTGTCCTCTAGTATAATGAGGAGGGAGAATCAATGTTCAGGAAGATCCAGGGTTAGAAGATATAGAAAATATTGTCAATATTTAGAGCACATGCTACCCTTTCTCTGAAAAAGCACATCAGCCACCTGCAGAAGTGGAAGAAGGCTATGAAGTGAAGAAAAGTGATGAAGAATCTGAACTATGTTCAAGTAGGTTCTCAGGCATCCAGGACATGGTAGTCTGAGGAGCTTGGAGAGAAAGTGACTGGGCTTCTTGAAGTTTCTTGAATTTTCAGAATGTGAAACTGAAATAGAAGATGTGTCAGAGGACTACACATCATCCATTTCAATTATGATGAAGACAAAGAATCAAGCAGGAAAGAGGAATCAGCTGAGACAGAGGAATATTTGCAGTAACGTGAGGAAACACTGATCTGGTCTTCTAACCTTCCCAGTGACAGACGATGCCTGACTCTCTCATGTGCCTCAGAGAAAGATGATCTACCACAGTCCAAGCACATGTGCCAGGTCCCATACTCCTTCAGTGGCTTTTCTACTCGAGTACTGAAAGCATTATACACAGTGTATTCTGCTTGTATTCTGCTTTTTAACGTTCACATGCCAATGGATGCATCAGAGACCAAGTTGGGGTTCAGTAACTTGCCCAAGGACACCTTGGTAAGAACTCCAGACTAGAGCACACAGAGATTGAACCAACAACCATCCAATTAGCAGATGACCTGCTCTACAGCCAACTCAATGATGAACAAGGAGGGACAACAAGAGAGGAAGAAAAATGGACCGAATGCAGCTGTAGGCATATGTGGGTGTGTTGATTCTTACTGCCGTGCATCCAGTAGAGTCGCTACGGCCAGTTTATGACATCCTGAGTCTGGTAGAGAAGTTTTCATGCTGACACAAGATTAATCATAGAAGCACAAAAAGGACATAATTTCTTGATAAAGACACAATAGATGATCGTCGTTCATGACACAAACGTGCTCCCATTTGAGGTGTATGATGTGTGTTGGTGTTGACTTGACTTGAAACACAAGTGGGTGTTCCTCCTGCTGTGATGTAAGATCCTGGTACTGATGTGACTGTATGAGCACCAAGTCCCCTTCAGAGGACTCTGTCCCCTCCAACAGAACATCCAAGTAAACCAGGGAACTTTGAGACAAAAACATGGGCAGCATGTGATGCAGGTCCAGCTGTACATGGAACATGCTCGTGTGCGATGGCAAACCGTCTGTCCTGCAGTCAGGACACGAGTTGTCCCTAACATTGCAGGTTTCCAAAAGAAAACAATCACCTGTAACAGCTTGTTTACTGTATATGCCCCTTGGCCTGCAACTGCAGAAAGAATGCTGTCCATGATGGGACCAGTGCAGAGGAATAAACCTGAGCTTCCTCCTGCACTTGGGTCAAATATGGACACGCCTTTGTCCTCATGAAAGTTTGCCTTCACTCAGACTCATGCCCTCCTACCATGCCAAAATATAGAAAACTGTCAGGCAATGAGTTGGAATAAAGTTGAATAAAACCTTGAAACACAGAGATGGATGATATTTTATACTTGTTGCTTCAAAGCAAACGGGGTCATTTTTGAGCCCTGAGGACCACAGGTGTGATTATGTGCTGCCATTTAAAATTTATAAATGGTTCAAAAAAAAATTCTCACTAAAGTTCAACATACAGCACTCTGTATGTTGAACTTTAGTGAGAATTTTTAAAAAAAAAAAATTTTTTTTAAATATTTAATTTAATTAAATATTTAATTTTCTCAATTTGTTTTCGCTAAAAAACAGGGTGTATTTTTTGTAAACAAGGTCTGGTGGCCCTAAAATGTAAAATGTTGGGTAAATTTTGTGTTAATGCGTTGGTCTTAAGTAAAACTAAGGTGTAACACTGAATTGATTGACAATTTATACTTTTTACTTTAAAAAAACAGTCAAATGAAGTGGGGACATTTTTGACCCCTGAGGACCACCAGTGTGATTATTTGCTGCCATTAAAAATTTTCAAACGCTTGAAAAAAAACTTTCTCACTAAAGTTCAACATACAGCACTCTCTAGTTATTCAGATAGTCAAAATTATCTAAACAATTAAATATTTAATTTTCTCAATTTGTTTTCGCTAAAAAAACAGGGTTTATTTTTTGTAAAGAAGGTCTGGTGGCCCTAAAATGTAAAATGTTGAGTAAATTATGTGTTAATGTGTTGGTCTTAAGTAAAACTAAGGTGTAACACTGAATTGATTGACAATTTATACTTTTTACTTTAAAAAAACAGTCAAATGAAGTGGGGACATTTTTGACCCCTGAGGACCACCAGTGTGATTATTTGCTGCCATTAAAAAAATTTCAATGGTTCAAAAAAAAAATTCTCACTAAAGTTCAACATACAGCACTCTCTAGTTATTCAGATAGTCAAAATTATCTAAACAATTAAATATTTAATTGTCTTGTTTTATTTTCGCTAAAAAACAGGGTTTATTTTTTTGTAAAGAAGGTCTGGTGGCCCTAAAATGTAAAATGTTGAGTAAATTTTGTGTTAATGTGTTGGTCTTAAGTAAAACTAAGGTGTAACACTGAATTGATTGACAATTTATACTTTTTACTTTAAAAAACAGTCAAATGAAGTGGGGATACTTTTGACCCCTGAGGACCACCAGTGTGATTATTTGCTGCCATTAAAAATTTATAAACGCTTGAAAAAAAAAATTCTCGCTAAAGTTCAACATACAGCACTCTCTAGTTATTCAGATAGTCAAAATTATCTAAACAATTAAATATTTAATTTTCTCAATTTGTTTTCGCTAAAAAAACAGGGTTTATTTTTTGTAAAGAAGGTCTGGTGGCCCTAAAATGTAAAATGTTGAGTAAATTTTGTGTTAATGTGTTGGTCTTAAGTAAAACTAAGGTGTAACACTGAATTGATTGACAATTTATACTTTATACTTTAAAAAACAGTCAAATGAAGTGGGGACACTTTTGACCCCTGATGGCTCACATTGTATGCAAATCGGGAGGACATCACAAGGGTTATTAAAATTAACTCTAAAAGACACAGGCAGCCAGTGCAGAGAGGCTAGCACAGGGGTTATATGCTCTATTTTTCGAGTTCCTGTTAGGAGTCGTGCAGCCGCATTTTGAACCAGCTGCAGACGTGAGAGCAATGACTGACTGACCCCCACATAAAGTGAGTTACAGTAGTCCAAGAAGAAATAAAAGCATGGATCACTGTTTCAAGGTGCTGCCTCGAAAGAAAAGATTTTACTCTTGCCAGTCGCCTTAAATGATAAAAACTGGACTTCACCACTGCTCTGATTTGGTTGTCCAATTTAAAATCACTGTCCAACTTAAAACCAAGGTCAGTAACAACAGATTTAAAATAGACTTCCAGGGATCCTAAAACAACAGAGGAGGACTCACAGGGACCACTGGGTCCAAACACCAACACTTCTGTTTTCTTTTCATTAAAATTTAAAAAGTTTAGAGCCAACCAAGCTTTAATGTCATCTAGACATGTCAAGAGAGGTTTTATGGAGATGCCATCCTTGTGCTTTAGTGGCAAATAAATTTGGCAGTCATCGGCATAACAATGAAATGAGATTCCATGCCTTCTAAAGATAGAACCCAGAGGCAATAGATACAGTAAAAAGAGCAGTGGCCCTAAAATTGAGCCCTGTGGGACGCCACATGACAGAGGAGCAGAAGATGATTCGTAACCGAGAAGGCTGACAGAGAAAGTTCTATCTGACAAATAAGACCTAAACCAATTAAGTGCAGTGCCACCAATACCCACTACATCATGTAATCAAGAAATTAGAATATTGTGGTCTACGGTATCAAAGGATAAAATACAGAAAACAATATCAAGATTAAACAACCCCAAAATCAAATAGAATATTTAAATAACAAAATAAAATCTTATAAAAGCTGGGCCATGACACAGGACATGTCAGTGTGTGTGTGTGTGTGTGTGTTTTTCCGAATCCTAACTCCTGTATATTTTTAAGATAAATAAACTGTGAGAAGTAAAATGCACAAAATGTTGAATGTATGAAAAATTATACAACTCAAAACATATATTCAAACTGATATTTAAGGAGTGAAGGGTTGTCTTACACAGTCAGAAATAGGGGTACGGAAGGGGTACATTACTGTGCCCCAAGGTACAAAAATGACATTAATACAGTCTAAGGACAAATATTGGACCTCGGGGTAACTATCTGTACCTTTTTTAGTGTCTGAAAGGTACATACATGTTCCTTAATTGTGAAAAGTACTTATTTGTACCCATTCTTTCAAAAGATAAAGTACAGGTTGATTAAGCACTTTTTGATTAGAGTTTTTTTATTTTTATTATTTTTGACAAAAAGCACCCTTAAAAAAAAGCACCCTTATTGAACTCGGAGTGCGAGTTGAGCCCATCCTCACAACATCAAACAAAAAGTAGAAGAAGAAACTCAACGAATAGCTGGTGGATTCTAGAACTTTCTGTAAATGCAGCAGGTGCCATTTTGTTTTATCAACGGAGGGAGATGAATTACGAACTTGTCCGAGGAACTCTTAACAAAAATACAAGAGTGGGGCTTAGATGTCACCGAAGCTGAAGCTCAGCGTTTCAGAGGTAAGTTTTATTTAAAGAAAAATGTAGCATAATTACTAATTATTGGTTTAGCCTAGCTTAACGTATATTAGCAATTTAGCTAGTTTCGGCACTCTCTTAGCTCAAATTATGTCTTTTTACAAACGTTTTTACAAACGTTTCATGTGTAAAGTTGAGGTCACAGTTCTGAAAAATGTGTACACATAGTATTTGTATAAGTTTGAACTTATATATGTGGTTCAGCCACAGTCTATAGGTTCAGTAACCCCTGCGCAGCGGAACGGCGCAAAATTTGATTCCCTGGTAGCTGAATGCAGTTTACCGTTAGTGTATTAATGGTTTAATAAAATCACGTTTTTACATCCATTCCAAGGCCATCAACACACATGGGCGGCTGAATATAACGTCTAAAGGAAATATCTTAACACCGCACTTGTTTAAAATATAACAAGGGTGTCGCAGCTGGGGTTTGATAGTCGCGTTTTAAGCAATGTGGGAACTTTTTCAGCATGTAATCTGAGCTTGTAATACGGTCCTGCGGGTGTTATTGCTATAAGTAATCGGTCTGAAAGAACAGACGGCAGAAACTGTCGGAAATCTGGAGAAAGGAGTCACCTTAGTAGTGAATATTAACACATTACAGCATTCTAGTCTTTTTTTTTTCTTCCAAACTTGAAAGGGCACAAAAGCATGCTCAGACTCTGCTCTCCTGTGTCCAGTAGTCCCAAACAAACATCTAAATTTAAAAATGAAAACTTTGCATATCGAGAGGATTCACTCTAAAGATTTGGTTTATTTTATTTAATTTACTTATTTTTTTTAATGAATATTTCTTTGAACTGAAAGAAGTATTACAAAAGGTTTTAATGTGTGTGATATACGGTTTTTACCCATGTAAAAATGTGGTGATAAATATTCTTACATGGAATTTAGAGTTTGTACTACCATTTATCTTGCAGACAATGAGGTTGATGGTGACACAGTTGACTGCGGTCTTACTGAGACTATGGTTGCATACCTTTTCCAAGGATCCTTCAAAAAGCAGGTTAAATTCAACCAATTTGTGTCAAGGATGAAGGAATCTTCAGTGACGCTGACTCTACAGACTGTCTCTCCAGAAGACTGGCAACCATCTACTTCGTCAACTTCAATAAGGTATTTTCTTATTTATAATGAAGTTAGTATGTCTGAAACATACATGTTGGCCGTTATGCACTTTTAGGATTTAGTTAATATGATCATTGTTTCTACCATATGTATTGTTACTGTAGTGTTTTATACTTCAATTCATGCAATAAAAACAAACACTTAACTGTTTTCACAGCAATGAAAATACTTTGAGACTTTAACCGATACGAGTTCTTTGTGATGCACAGATCGTGTCAGCTCTAATTGTATATTTAGTCTTATGTTGGGTTTCTAATCTGTTTTGACTTTCTCTTCTCACTCTTGCTTTCTTTCAAGGGACCATGCGTCCAAGGAGAGGATTTATTATCCATAGACGCCCACTTAAAGGTCTTACAGTGCCAATATCAGAAGATGCAACCAGATACCATGGTGGTTCATAACCATATGCAGCAAACGTTTGCTTGGCGGCAGAAAGAAATTGCAAATGGTATGCCTGTGGAAGATGTGTTGAAGAAGTACCCCTTCTTAGGGATGCCTACTGGTGTAAGTCAGAAAGCTGAATTGAACTTGGAAATAGCTGTCACATTTAACATGTTTATAGTAGTATATTTTATTTGCCCTTGACCTTGCTTTCTTCATCTGTCCCTCTTTCCTTTTTTTTTTATGTTCATGTAACTTCTTACAGTATTGTTGTTAAATTCTATAAAAAAATAATTATGCAGCACCATACATAATTAATATCAACTTTAGATTATTTCATTTTCATACACTGTTATTTTGTACTGAAAATTAATTTTTTACTTGTAGCTGTGCAACGAACTCGGGTGGATCCAACCAACAACGGGTAATGTAAGCCAGCGATTTCGTGAAGGACTCTCATGTGTTGCAGCAAAGGTGATTGACGTTACACGAGGGAAAACCCCACTCTACCAGCTCTACCTTGATGCAAGAGAGGAGGCTCTCACTGATGACCTACCAGGTATTTGCTTTTTTTTTTTAACTTCAAGGCTTCCATTTTATATAATTTTTATAGGTAACTGGAAATGCCAGATAAAATGCATGGGTGATCTTGTGTTTTGTTGTTTTTTTGGCAGATCTTGACACAAGGGCTGCACTTTTATTCCTGCCATACGTCTTCAAGGAGAAACTGGATCTCTTTGTCATACTTGGAGAGGTGTGTGTATTAAAATATTTAGTCTATATAAAAGGAAAACAAATGTATCTTTTGTTAAGAGACTAAGATATTGCTTTCCTCTACCTTCTCTTTTGACTTCAAAGGTTTATCCTAAAACCCCCTATCCAACTGTTCAGCTACTTTATGAAGACTGGAAACCAGTGTTCTCCAGAAGCGCTCCAAACATTGTGAAGTTGGATGGCAGTGAAGTGTGCAGAAGCTCGTGTATTTTTGAAGCAATCATCTCTTCTTTCTGCTTGTATTTTGTCTTCAACCTTGCTTACCCAAAACATCTGAAGAACACCCTGATTTTTCTTCAAAAGTACATTGTGAAAATAGATGAGGGTGAGGACCGGCCTCTACCAATCACAGTCACCAGACAAATAAATCTTCTGTATTGACCACCATGCCTCAGCCATATCAGTGCTCCAAATGTGGCAGAAGAACCTTTAGTTTGACAAAGCTTATTCAGCACATAGGTGATGCCAATTTTGATATAACCTGTGGACTCAGTGACTGCTGTTCTTCCTTCAAAAAATATGAATCTTTCAGACGACATGTGTATAGGAAACACAGAGAACAGGTGTTGTGTTAATATTGACACAATGTGGGTCTTTTGTGGAAAAATTCTCATTCCTCTGTTATATGACAACCATTTTCATTCATACAGTGTTAGAGTTGATAGTGAATGGACGTTGCTAAAACCTGGACAGGAAATTGATGTTGCAGCTTATGACACATACTGTGTTGATAACAGTTTGTATGTAACAGTTAAGCAATGTATTTAAGAAGGTAATAAATGTGACAAGTATTTTTGACTTTGTATCTTCAATTTTTCAAATCTTGAGAGGAAAAATATAGGAAATCTGTGTGTAGATACTGAACCTTTAGAAAGACATTTTTGTACTCCTTTTAAGGGTTCTTTTTTGTACTTTATACTAAGGGTACAACTTTGCCCTTTAAAGTACAGGTTTGACGTGTAAAAGGTACAAATTACAAGGGTACAAATCAGTACCCACAGTTTAGGGTACAGAACGGTACCTTAGAGGGTACCACCCCAGTGACAAGCCATTGTACCCTTATAGGTACATTTCTGTACTTTAATTTCTGAGTGTGTAGCTAGCCACACCATTGCTTTCTCTGCCTTTATTTTATTGTCTCTTTCCTTGCACAAAGCTTTCAAGTAGTGTGAAGTCGTGTTAACAGAGAGCACCCAAAATGGTACAATGCATGTTGGTGGCAAAAATTCAGTCACAAAACTATGCTTTTACATTTTTATGTGACTTTACAGAAATCCTGTTGTATTGCGGATGCTGTTTTCAACTAATTTGTTGAAAAATTGAAAAGAAAGGGGAAATTAAAATAGAAATCAAGTTGTGTTGTGCTGTGTTGTTATTTTCTATTCCAGTTTGATTCTAATACTTTTATTCAAATCTATTTAGTCTACTTTGAATAATTGAAACCATTGCAACAATTTCTATTTATTAAAAAAAACCCACTGCAAATTAGTGTTAGTGTTGTTTTAAAACAGAAGACGGCGATGATATACACACATCACCAGCCTTCCTGCTAGTGACATCTAGTGGTTTCTTTGGGGTATTGCAATTAACCCTGCTCCGACCCTGCTCTGATGAAATGCTGTCTGGTTTTTAAGAAGAGTAAGGTACAGGGGGCAATCGCAGAAGTAGAACAGTGATGATATAAATGGGAGTTTAAATTCTCAGTTGATAAGACTAAAATAATGTTTTTTACAAGGAAAAGAGTTGGGGAGGAAATCAACGTCAGATTAAATGAACAAGAATAAGAAAGATGTCTGAAGGTTCTCAGTCCTCCAGGTCATTGTAGTCTAAGGAGCTTGGAAGCATCTGAATTTCTTTAAGTTGCTTGAAAGACATTTCACCTCTCATCCGAGAAGCTTCTTCAGTTCCAGGGTCAAATGGTGAATAATAAAAAAATAAGAAAGATATGCTGTGAAGGTTGCCACGCCACTTAAAGAAATCCAGATGATTTTCTCTTGAAGCTCTTTAGACTAAGAATAAGAACGGATAAAACAATTTACATTTCTGAGGTTATGGTTTGATCAAAGGGTAACATGTGTAGTACATATTCAGAAAATAATAGACAAATACAAGAAAGTGTTAAATATGAGGTGCTTAGTGGGAACTGAATGGGGGGCTGATATGACATTTTTTAAAGCTGGGTTAATTACATCAGTATTAGACTATGGGTGTATATTATATAATTCTGCAGCCAGAGCAAGTCTTCATAAGTTAGATAGTATCCTATATCAGGCAACTAAGAGTCTGCAGAGGTGCATTCAAAACAACCTCGACAGCAGCAATACAGGTAGAAATGGGAGAAATGCCATTAAAAAAAAAAGGAGAGAGCAACTAGCACTGAATTACCGGGCAAGTCTACAATGACATCCAACAAAAACGATTTTCCACCCCTGCTGGGAAAAAATGAAAAGAGAATTGATGACCTTTGTGTGGCCAGTAGGACAGAAAGCCATTGAACTTACTCTGGACAAGATCAACACGAGTCAAACAGTTATGTTGCCTACAAAACCACCTTGAATGCTCCCTGATGCAGTAGTAGATTTCACACTATTGAACAAAAGGGGTTTTATTTAAACTCTCATACAGTGCAGGAATATATTAACCAGTATTGCAATTATGTCAAAATATACACAGACGCAAGAATATAGCCAACCAAAGTGGGATAGCATTTGTTGTTCCTGAATTTCATATCAACGTAAGGAAAAGGATCAGTGATGATTTATCAGTGTACACTGAGAAATGGTTTCAATACTGTTAGCTGTCCAGTGGATTGAAAATGCAAGACCAGTAAGATCTTTAACAAGCTCAGACTCAAGTTTATCATTGGCTAGTTTGCCAGACAGTCACTCAGACTGCAGAGCTGACATTCTGATAGAGATTCAAACATTATACAGAATTACTATGAAGGGACTTATGGCAAACAGAACAGCGAAGGAAGCTGCAAAGAGACCGGTGGTGGATATGGATATCAGTGTTAGTAGAAAAAAGATTAAGAGTAGAATACGGCACAAAATGAAAGAAAGGTGCCAAAAGCCATGGGAGGAAGAGAGGAAAGGCCGGAGGTTTTACAAAATCCAAAGGAAAGCAGGAGAAATTAGAAGCACAGAAAGGACAGGAGAGAGGAGACAATTATATCTTGACTTAGATTTGGACACACCGGTTTGAATAACACGTTGCTTTTAATAGGGAAACACCATACAGTGTGACTGCAGTCGAAAATAGGAAACAATAGAACATGTTTTATTGCATTGTCAGAATTATGATGCTGAAAGATGATAACTGATCAAAAAGCTTGTCGATATGAAAGTGAAATTGGACTTGGTTGATTTATTTCATAAGAACTCGAGAAGTGAAAGTTTTCAGACCATATTTTGGGCAGACTCATTTGTTTGGGAAGGATTTGAATTTTTTGGTGGGTTTTTTCTGTCATTGCACACTCCACACCAGTGGGTGGCGGTAATGCACCATGTTGCTGTTTGCCAATCGCCAATAAACAATATAAGGAAGAAGAAGTGCCGTTCCGGTTTACGCGACACTTTCCTTTCGAGCAGCGAACAATTCAAAGAAATCATGTCTAAGGAAGGAGCTGATAAACCCAGACTAACAGCGGCGGAGGAACAACTCATCCGCCACCGAAAGAATCTCGATTTCTGGAAGAAAAATGCAGCCCAGATCCGAACCCGCAACCTGCTGACAGGCTTGTCTATAGGAGCTTTTGTGGTCGGCATCTGTATCCTTCACAGGTCGCTTAAAGAGTGAATGACAGGAGTGTTTGGGTGCTTAGACTAAAAACAGTCCATGTGTTCAGCACTCCTCAGAGAAAGGGGAGAGGTGAGGTTTAACAAGCAGACTTACAGACCCCGTGATGGGAATGCAGAGCAGTTCATCGGGATGTGTTCACAGTAAGTGTAAATATGCGGGTCTGCAAATTCAGCTTAAAAATGTAAATATTAAACTTTATTAAAGATACAGTCTGTTTAACAGAGTTGGTCATCAGACTTGTTAAAAAAACTGAGTGCACTTAAATTTATTTATAACACAAAACAGAATTATAAATAATGCACAGGCAGCATAACAAATGTTACTTGTTGAAACTGTAGCTCTGTGAATGCATTTAATTTTAGGGAGAAGTCACCGCATTCAGTTTTTATTTGTTTTTAACCCGTTAAAAAACAATGTTGTGCTTTGATTTATGGACAAGAAAGAAACACACTATGAAAATATTTAGTCTCTAACTGCAGATGATGACTTTTGCTACTGACGAGAAATCACCGATCGTTGTTCTATTGCTTCAGATTTATAGTGATATATGTGAAACGTCGTAGTTAAGGGGATCGGATGGATAGCCTGACAGCTGTCCACTATGTCTTAATGGCAGAACAAAATCACCCTGCCCTAAACATGTGACATGATGCCCTCTTAGTTTAGTGTTAAAGGGCAGGTGAGAGAGTGTTGTGTTTTTTGTGTTATGACAACACGAAAAAATGTAGTTGTGTTAGTCCTGCTGCAAGCCCTTTGCAGTACATGTTAATAAATAAGTACAACATTTTTAGTTACATTTCAATAAAAGGTTCAGTAATCTCTAAACCTATAATGTTCTAACGCAGGGGTATCAAACATAAGGTGCAGGAGCCACAACTGGCCTGGTAAAGGCTTTGATCTGACTTCACTGGAGAGTTTTGGAAAAGGAGGGCATACCTTTTGAACTTTTGACTGTAATTTTACAACTTTATGTTTACTGATAAACATTTAGCTGTTTTAGGTACATAAATGTAATAGATTTTACAAAGGAATGATGGGAACGTTTATGTTTTTTCCATTATCTGCTATAGAAATATAAAAAATATAGAAAGGAGAAAAAAGTTTTGTCTGAATAAATAAAAAAAAACCTATGATACTTTTTATTTTATATTTACAGGATAGTGTGGAACTGTTCATATTTGCTTCTTATAATTTAAGCCCAGAACGTCATGCTGAGAAATTTCTTTTATTTTCTACAACAGTATTTCTGTGTATTTAAGCTTCTTTACACTGACAGAAAGATGAGTTTCACTGGTCCAGCCCACTTAAAATCAAAGTGGGCTGTTTCTGGCCCATCATGTAAAATGGCTTGGATGTACCTGTTCTAATTGCTTCCTCCAGTCCAGTAGGTGCATTTAATAGAGTGTGTGTGTGTGTGTGTGTGTATGTGTATATGTATGTATGTATGTATGTATGTATGTATGTATGTATGTGTATGTGTATATATATATATATATATATATATATATATATATATATATATATATATATATATATATATAAAATTATAATAGAAACTTTACAGGACAATAAACCAAGAAATCATGATTGATTTGGAATAATGAGAACATGAGGGTTTCCAGTTAAAACACGAGTTAAACTACACACATGTCTCTTTTAATGTTTCCTTTAACCTGCAGTTTCCCAGTTAGCTACACCATCCTGTCTGTGAAACAGGAGAGAGTTGTGGAGGAACTGGATGAGGAAGCTAGGATCCACATCATCAGAGGGCCACGGACTGGTGCCAACTCCTGACTCAGTTGGACTGGGCTTTCTGGCCCCTTAATACAGGTGGAGAAGTTTACACGTGGATGCTGGAGGGATCACAGCTCATATATGGACATTACAGTGTTTCTGGATCCTTTTCTGCTTGGAAAAAAATAAAAGCAGATATAATCATATATATATATATATTTATATATATATATATATATATATATATATATATATATATATATTTCTGATCAGCTTTCTGCATTACTGTAAGCCTAATGTGCTGTGAATAAAACACTGATGCCCATCTTTGCATATAAATTCTCAGTAAATTTATAAGAAATCTCTAAATGAAACAGTTAACATAGAAACAGGTTTCAGTTTATGCAGTGTATTTCCAATAATAAGTCCAGACTAGAGCATTTTAGTCATTGTATATCAGTAGCATATTCCAGAACAGTAGAAAGTGTCTCAGTAAAACTAAAGAAT